TTCTCATCATCTTACCTAATTTTCTTAGGATTTACAGTAGAATGCCCTAAACTATTAATTGCAATAAGAGCAGAAATTTTTTTTTTTCAAAAGGGTGACTTAAAGAATATGACTGACAACAGATTTGCTGAAAGAAACATCTATTTAAGTTTGTCTTAAACTGCAGATTGTATTCCAATGTTCTGTTTTGTTTTAAGGGTTGGTTTTGGTTTTTTTTCAGTCAGGAACATTTGTGTACCATAAATAATTGAAATCTTTATAAAACTTTTATTTCAAAGACAGGCTTTGTAAACCTAGTGGGAAAGCAAAATCAATTTTACTTTGTCCTGATATAGTATGTATTATTCAGTGAGAAATGAACTCAATCCTTATTGTGAAGACTAAAAGCTGAACTTCCAATATTTAAGGAAATAACAGTCAGAGGTGGATTGATCTCTGGGACACAAGTCTTTCTAGTTACTAGTTATTTCTCTCTGTTGCATACTGAAAATCAGAATCTGTTGAAATGCTTACTATAATCTATTAAATCATGTCAGTAAGAATAATAGAAGAGTGAAAACAGCTGGCTAAGCTTAAAACTATAAGTGAATGTCATTCCCTCAAAAACAAATTATATTGGAATTTACACTGACGCTACATCAATAGGCTGATGGTAAAAGCAAAACAACTTGCAATTACTGTACTACAGATGACCTTAACATGCACAGTATTGCTAAATTTTTCCGGTTTATAATGAACATTTTCAAAAGCACATTCATGTGCTAAAATGATAAATATTCATTTTAATCCCAGGTGGATATGCTGATAATGACACTTTATTTCGCAGAATGGTGTAACTGGTGTAACTTAATATTCAGAGAACAGATTCAATCTGTGTATAATTACATAGTGGGTTTCTTAGGAATGGGTTTAATTTACGTTGGCCACATAATTTTACTGCAAAATGAGTAGAGAACCCTGATGGTTTTTGAAGATCTGAAGATTTCAGAAAGTCACTGGGATTTCATAGTGTTTATGGCAGGGTGGTACAGTGGTGACATGTCACATTCACTGAGTCAGCTTCTTCCAGAATTGTCCTGTGGTACAAAAGTGGCATCCAAGTTCAGCATAAACTGCAAGAATTCACTTTCCCTCCACACCAACATAACTGGTCATTCAGTTTAAGATTTTACTGTTTTCCTACTAAAGTTCCTTCTCTTGCTTTCTCACACATAGTGAGGGATGATGCTATCTTTCTTAAAGACCCATATACTTCATTCAAGCAGATAGCTAGATACAGATTAGGTGTTCTTTCAGTTTAAATCTTCTCTGACTTCAGAGGAACTATGCTGGTTAAGACTTGTTGATATATGGTGCAATTGCTTTACATCTTGCAGTTTTTTTCTTAATTAGACAAATAATCTTCTTGTTAGTTACTCAAATTCAGAGGAATTTGCTGATATTCATCAGGACAAAATTCTGTATTTGTGATTATGTATTTTGTAATTGATGTGTTTTCAAATATGAAAGAAATATTACTATCTCATGATGGAAATTAATCTAACATTAGTTTCAGAAAATACACTGTACTTTTTGTATAATAGCACAGCTGCAGAGTATAGGTGTGCTGATGTGGAAAAGTGACTTGACTTCTAGAATGGCCTGCCTATACATACTTATAACTATATCGCATATATGTTTGTGAAACCTTCCAAAGAGTGCTTATCAAATACGCAAGAGACTAAAATTTGGTTATTTAGAATTCAAGAAGGAAAGAATAAGAAAATCAATTGACCATGGATCTTTCCTTAAACCCAATCCCGAGAATCCTATTAATATTAAGGAAGTGTAGAAGTGCAGATATATTTGGTTTTGTGTGAGAATATGAGAGTTCTTGAATAATCTGACTGATTCGTGATCACTGTATTTATAAATTTACCTTTTTTTCATTTAAATTGCACTTTGTTGGTCTAAATGATGCAAGTTCACAACGTAGAAGTTGAGGTGACCAAAACAGATGGACTAATCTGAGGGTTTGTTGGTTACCACATGACTGCAGAGGTGAATTTTATGGTCCTCAAATATATAGGCACTGTTCTTGGACAAGAATCAAAGCTTGATATCAGAGATAACATTGCCCAGAATTAAAAACCTTTGAGGACCTACTAGTTAATAGATCTGATAGCTATGTCTTGTATCTTCATTCTTCTTTCCCCTTTTTTAATTATCTTCTAATAATTCTGAGGGTTTGGTTTTTTTGTCACTCACTGTGGTAAGTTGGTTGTTGTCTTTTTGTCTGCTCCTCCCTGCCCAGTGTGTTGTGAAAGGTAATATGAAGGAAAATATAAGTGCATGTATAGTTTATATTAAATTTAATTTCAAAATTTGGGAAATGTCCTAGTTTATGCAAATTGATATGTATCAGTATTTACAAGACAATGGAGTGAAACCTGTTCCAGCTGAATTCCCATGGAGCAGCACAATTGGCTGCTGGGGACAGATTGCCTTTAAATGCTCAAGCTGAACTGGAGTGGGAGTGTTGCTTTAAAGCAATCTTAAAATAGAGTGTTACCACTTGCAGGTAATTTTTTTTTTAAAATGAAAGCACGATATTTCAATGGCAAAAGAGACCATCATGCCTAACACACTTTTTGTGATGCTTAAAGAGGAATGGAAGTAATGACCTTATTGAAACTACCTGGTTACTTTAGCAGGGGAAATTCCTCCTTGACCTCTGTTCACTGGCAAATTAAAATGAGAGTATTCTCTGAAGCTTGTCAGGCTGGTTACACGTAATTTTGTTACTGCTGAGATGAGTCAGCTCTTTTAGAGTGATGTATACCTTGTTTAAAATTATGCATAGCTGGAGTGGTAACAAAAAAAACTATAGGTGTTTCTGTATAAAACTTAATGCAGGAGATTTTATTTACGTTGCATGTAATGATTAGAATGCTAATATTTATCAGATATTCTAGCACTAGTTAGATTTAATTTCATATAGGTTCTTTCATTCAGTTTGATAAAAAAATTTGAACCAAACCCTCCATGTAAATAATGCTAAATTCTGGAAGGTTCATAATCTTGGCATACAGATTTTCCTGTAAACCCGTGATGGGTTTGACTCTGTGACCACTATTTGAGATAATTTATTTTTGATTATATTAGTTATCCATATCAAGGATAACTGGATTATTTATGAGTGCTGTTTAGTTACTAGTAAGTAAGCATAGCTGAGTCCTGGCATTATCTCCTTACGTTGACTTCACGCCATGTCATCTTACAGTCATTCTCAGAGATACTTCTTGTTCCCCCACTAAATCTGCAGTTTTTCCTTACCTCTGGTGGATGAACGTAATCAAAATAGTCTGAAACCATAGTTTATTTCAATAAAGTTCATCCACATATTGAAAGAAAAAGAAAAACTTATCAAGAGAATAAAATATTTTACTGGCAGCTGAGCTTTTTATCTACCAGCTAAACAATGTATTAGAAAGATTGTAGGTTTTATTTTACTATCCTGGGAAAATGTAACAATTTTTTTTTTTTTTTTGGAGGAGGGGGACACGACACACAGGGAGTATCTCTCTCCTCTTTTCTGTTTCAACTTTCCTCTGAAAGGGAACTTCTACTGTAAAGTTAAATGGTTGACCTAGCAATCATGCTTGAAGATCTTCACTGAAAGTGTTGGGTGATACGTTGCAGACCAAAACATCTCAGTTCTTATTTTGCAGCAGCAAGCAGGAATTGGAGATGTTTTGTGTTTCACTAGACATGCAAACTCAAAGAACTCTACACTTTTTAATTTGGAACATTCTGTCAAAGCTGAATATAATTATTGCTGAAACTTTGACATAATGTTACAATTCTTTACCTAAAGTCTTGTGTTGATGAAAGAGACATTTTATCCACTTTAATCTTTTCTAGGTATCCAAACTATTGTTTAATATAGAATAATTTTTTTTTCATAAATCTATCATATTTCGTGGCTGTCTATTGCTAAAATAGATAGGACTGATATTGGATAGTACATTTAATTTGCTTTACTGAGTTTCTTTGCTAAAGTATGTATTCAAAATCCATTAAAGGAGTGTTAAGATTCCTGTGTAAATTCGAGGTCTTGGATCTGATTGAAAAAATAGTATTGATGTGTTGCAGAACTGAGGTTCTTTTTTCCCTCTTCTTAGAACTAGAGGTATAGCAAGGAGGTAAAAAATAAAATTAAGTTGTAGAACGAATAGCTGTTTTAATTCACTGATCAGTCTTCCTCAAAATGATGACTTTAAATGAAAAAGTATGTTGTTTTAGAATTAACTGCAGTGCTTGCTTTTTTCCTGAAATGGAGTACGAGAGTTGGATCTGTATTTCATTCAACCTAAAACAGTATGCACTGGATTTATTTCATTGTGGATTTTACAGAAAATTTAAAATGTATAGTTACACTTCAAGTAAAAATTACAATTTTGGAAAAGATTTAATATTTTGACTTAATCCATTCATTAATAATTAGGTTTGATTACTCTTGGCATATTTGTCAGTTCTAGTTTATACTGTAAGGAGATTTAAGTGAGGAGAAAATGTGGAATGAAATAAACTTTACAAAGTTAGAATAGATCCGAATCATCCTTCCCTCAAATTACTGGATGTCACAAAACTTCATAGTTTCAAAGTTTTGCTTGTTTTTTTTTGGGTGGAATATCTTTTAAAACAAAAAAAATCTCACATTATGTACCATCACTTACGTTAAATACATCCTTTCTGTCTCCTGTTCATCACAGCCAATACACCATTTGCAGTGTTTCAGTCTGATGATTTGCATACTTAGATGTAGCACAACATTTTGACATATAAAACTCTATTTATCTGTGTTGGGAGAAATTATTATATAGGTCAACAGGGGGGCACACTCCAATTTGGAATCTCTAAAGAGTGTTGGAATTAATTCAATTGGATGAACTAACACTGTTTTCAAATGCATTGAGTAATGTTTTGAGAAGATCTCATGCTTTTATTTTCTGTGTTAGACAGGGCTATGAAGAACTGGAAAGACAACTGAAAGAAGTCTTTAAGGAAAGGAGCAATATTCTTCGTCAACTCTCGAAGACTTCTAAAGAACTTGAGGGAATTAAAGTAAACCTCCAGGTTAGGTTCTGTCTTGGTTGCTGTAGGATTACTTACCTTGACTTTTTCATATTGGTATCTGTTTATTACAAAAAATATGAGTTTCTTTTTTTTAAATATGTGAATAATTATTATTTTGTTGATCTTGTACTTAACAAACTCAATGTTTTTACGGAAAACATAATCCTAATGAGTTGAGCCCTTTGTACACTTAAAAAAATAAAGAAAATGTGAAAATAGAGCATAGTAGAACAAAAAAAAAGGAACAAAAAAGAATAAGCTGTCTTAGTGGAGTTACCACATATTTGTCCTGCCAGCTGCTATAAAGGATTTCCTTTGCTGTTGTGGGTAGCATCTTTGCTCATGAGTTACATATACTCAGCCTAGTTTAGCTGCTCACTTTACCTTCCTGACGTGCCATCTACACAGACTGACTGGATTTACCGCAGGGTATTGCTTTACAAGTTTAGCTGACAGATTGTGCTAGATGAGCCTGCAACTAGAGCCAAGACACCTCTGCATTTAACTTTTGGGTATCACGGGCAGGCTGAAAGGGCAATCGTCAGATTTACTCTGGAGTCAAATCAGCTCCTTAGAGTGAAAAGTAGATGAAAAATCCTGCTCTGGATTTGAGGTCCTGAAATCACCAGATATTAATTTAAGAGCATGCCTGTCTTTTCCAGATATAGTCTGTTGGTCTGGTGAAGAGAGAGTCAGACTCATTATCAGCTGAGATTTGTCTCTATATTTCATGCTACCTTAAAGGACAGTATCTTTCTGGCATTGCATTCTGATCTTCATGTTGATGTAAGCTAGATGAGAAAAATATAAGGAGTAGAATCCCTATATCTGTTCAGAGAAAATTGGTACTGTGCTATGTTATATTATTGTTATATTGTCTTATGTTCCAGACTTCTCTGGTTCTAGTTAATGTGAACTCTTGAATCTTTCTTTTTTTCTTCTTTTTTTTTTTCCCCAAGTGCTTTACCATTCTATTATTGTAGAAGTTTTCTTCTTACTTTCTAGAGCAATGGCTTTTCCTTGTAACAAAGTTATTTTGGAATGGAATTTCTTATGCAGCACAGCTGAAGGTAGTATTTAGCAAGATTACACTATGACATATTCTAGACTCAACACTGAAGACATCCAGATATAGGCAAAGAGCTGTAGTATGATCCTCTGTACACATTTATCTTTGTCATACAATTTTAACGCTTTTAGTGATTTGTTTGTTTCTAAATCTACTTGTTTTATTTGAAAAACAGCTGTGTACAGTTAGCTCTGCGAGTTATGGTAAAAGAAAAGTCAGGCTATTCCTTCATTTCTTGCAAGTGGTAATATCTGTAATTCACTGGGAGCATTTTGTGAAAGAGGACCAAATGAATCATTTCACAGGTGCATAATATTAAAGATCTCTTTGGTAATAAGAGTTCTTCCTTTGCTATCAGTCTTTGAAAAATGATGAAGCATCAGCCAAAAATGATGTGCAGAAGCTTCTGGAACTGGGCCAAAAGCAAAGGTAAGACCCCACCTCCTCCCTTTTCTTTCTGTTTCCAGACTGAAAACTGTCAGACCAGGAAATTCTGTCTTTCCTTTAATCTATAAACAGTATTGTATTCCAGAGTCTGCTGATTATAACAGTAAAATAAGGGCAGGTAATGCTGTTTTGGAAACAAATTTTATATTTGGTGATATTGGACATAGGCTAGGAAAAGATATTAAAATGCTGTAGTGAGATATCTGCTAAAGAAAGGGATTTTGAATTTCTCAGGAAGGTTTAGCCTTTATGTTTTCTCTTAAAAAGAATAAAACCAGAAGTTTTAGAAAATTACTGGTGGCTGATAATGCCCAGTTAATTAAATTATTAAAGTATCTCAATCTCTGAATTTGAAGATGGTGATATTCAGGCCTCTTAATTAATGCATGTAGACATTCAAAATCACTAGTCATTGGCAAACGTAGAAATACTTGCACTAGATATCTGTGAGGAAAGCAGTTAGGAGGAGAGAGAAGTATTCACTTCAAATGATCCATTGAGCACTTGAGAAATAATGAGTTTCCATGACTGGGAATGCAAGTTCCCAGCCTAGCCCTTACTCTCAAGTCCCCTAGTGCTTCATCACAAGTAACTCTCGTTGTTCTGCTTCTCTTAACTCTTGGAATTGGGACCAGCAAATAGCAACATCAATACACTTTTAATAACAAGGTAACATGACTAATATAAGGGTCACTTTCACTGAAAAAATATTATATAATTTATACTTCATATTTTTCCTTACCAAAAAAATTATTAAAAAACTTAATAAAATTCATACTTTTTTCATTGTTAGAAATGCAATACTTAAATCCTGTGACCGTCTTATTGCTGATGCTGTATTTGATTAAAGTACATATGAAATTGCATTGCTATAGAGAAGGCTTGTGTTAAAATCACCTTCAGTTCTTCAATACGTAACAAATTAAGAACTTCTATGGGTATTGTATTATGGAACTATTTTTACTGTGATAGACAAGGATCGGATACATAAGGATCTTTCAGGTATTCCAGACAAATCTATTAAATGCTGAAAGCAAGACTTCAGATAATGTCCCGTTTAAACACTTACATGTTATATCTCTTGGGTGCAACTGAAGGTATATGTCTTGGCTGCACTTGTCATGGACTCCATCCTTCATACATGACTGTGGTTTTGTAGTGATTTGATTGTTGTGCAGCTTTTATGAAATAGAGAGATTAATTGACTAAAAGACTTAACGAACTCTTTAGTAAATAGATCTTAGTTGCAGATGGGGAAAATTAAGTCTACTAAGGGAAAATTGTACTACATACTACAAGTGTTCTTCTTGATCTCCTCCTTAAACCACCCCTTAAAGTCTCTTAAGGTCCACCCAAAAGTACATGTTGACTTTTGCTTCTAAGGGATTCAGCTATTGACTGTACTGCAGAATAGCAGTTTCCAGAGGTAGACCCTGGATCAGTGCGATATGCTGCTGAGCAGCCCTCACCCTCCTTCAGAAAATAAAAGGCTTTTACAATATACTCCAAGAAAATGCCTTGGAGCTACTGCGGGTACTTGACAGCTGTTTACAGGCTTACTGGATTTCATTTCCAGAGAGATGTGGAAGTTCAGTATAAGGAGGAGGTGTTAAAAAATGTGCTAGGGAATCTCCCTCATAGAATTTCACTAAGGAAGGGTTACAGCTTATTTGCCAAAAGCCTCAGGCTGTACTTCATCTCGGTAAGTGAAGAAAAGTCAACATAGTGTTATGCTTAAATCTATTTTATTTGAATGAAAATTCCAAATACATCCCAATAATAATCTTATGATCTGTCTTTTGATAAACATGAAATGGGTTTGGTGTGTGACCACTACTCTGATCATTTTCTGCAATCATGGATAACACAGTAAAGTTTAGAATGCTAGAATCTCAACTTGTGTAAGTAAATGTAGTTCTGCTGACTTCAAATTAGATTTTTTTTTAATCCCTTTTGTGTAAAATCTTCAGTACTTCTCAAGTTGCAAGTAAAACTTGCTAACTTACTACGAAGCCTCAAGTTTTATTCTTTCTGTGTGCCATTAGCGCTTTGAAATGATCATGTCTGTTTGTACAATGAGAGAGCTGTACTATGCTGATGGCACATCGGTTTTGTGCTGCTCAATTGTCGTTTCAATTAAATCTGTTCTGTTCTAGTGTCATCAACATTACTAAAAGTAGTAGAAGTATTGACTAACAAGAAAGATGATCCAGCAGCTGACAAGTTCTGTTCTTACATGAACTAGATGATTTCCATTCCAGTTTAGTTTTCATTGGGCTAAGTTATTATCTGTGTGTAAACCCAGTTCTGTGTTAGTCTTCTGAGAAGGTTTATCCATGCAAGCAACAGCCCTGAAAAAGTTTTCAACTGTTCTGAAATATGTAAGTCTTCTAATTTGCCACAGCTCCAAAGTGTGTCATATGCTGTGGGTAGAAAGAGGTGGCCAGCAGAGGATCTCAGCCCATCACTGTTCTCGCAATCTGGAGAAATTCTCTGTTTCAGTAAAGCAAAGGGGTTTTTTCGGTTTCAAATAAATTCCAACCCAAGCAATTATCCTCTTGGTTTTGTTTCTTTTTTTCTTGTATGCCAGTATCTTCTTCTGAATTTTGTGTTGCTTGTCTCTAGAAAGAGCCAGGTGAAGGTTGAATCTTATCAGACTATTATTTATTTATTTATTTTAAAGCAGGTATAAACTAGTTCTTATTGATAATAGTATCATTCCATTTTGATGCATTTTCAGTAGCCCACTTTCCTCACTTTTTTGGTGCCAATCCTTTTTGCTAGAAATTATACACTGGCAGATGTTTTGCACAGCAGGCTATTCAGTATGTAAAAGGTGGCCGATTTCCATCATAGATAATTTTTCTCTTGCATTGGCACTATAGTTCATGGAGTCGTTATGATTTTATTAGCAAGACTCATAGACACAGTACATCTGTCTGTTACTCTGAATAATTAAAGGTGCCTTTTCTTCAACCTAAAGAATCATTTCTTAATGGACAGTTTTGATGAAGTTTTTGTTCTGTGTTTTCAACAAACTAGGGAAGAAATGAAATCTCTTCAGGAGGCCTTTCAAAAGCAGCTTAATGAGGCAGCTGAGAAAGCAGAAAAGCAGCAGGCTACCGTGAGTGATTCCCTGTCCCTCTTTCATTATTTTTGTTTCTTCTGTCTTTTTTTAATCCTTTTGCCTTGAGAATTTGTCATTGGCTCAAATAACTTTGCATGTAGAAAATTTGGATTTCAAGTATGTGTTAGTACTCTACAAGTTTCAGAAGAGAAGAGCTGAAAAGATTTTGCATGTTCAAAAGCACAAAGATCCTTGTCTTCACTAATTTCTGTGGGATTTAAGGGTGTGTATACACTTCTGGGCCTGGAGACTTGGGCCTAAGTCCTTTCCCTGGTGAGGTCATCTTTATGGACCCTCATGTCTCATCTATACCAATGTACACTGTCATACATCCATTGACTTTTTTGGAATCACTACTGATTTGCAGCAACAAAATAGATAGTAGAGTGTCAGATTTTGACCATAGTAGATTTAATTATCACAATAGGAAGGTATTAAGTACGATTAAGATTTCATGTTTTAATGAAATTCTGTTTCTGGATGAATTGTACAATTGGTTGAATTTTTGTGTAGCACTGTAATGTCGTGGGGCACCAATAGTCACGTTTTGCTATTGCAGAAAAAAAAAGTACGATCATGTTTTCTGTCTAATTCTGAGATGTTAAAAGGAAATTTTTTCTATGTTAGTAATATTCCTATAACATGAACACCACTGAGCGTAAGTTGACTAGATAATCTACAGAGGTCCCTTCAAACCTCAAGTGTTCTGTGATTCTAACTCTGGACTTGAAAACAAACTAGATCTATTTTCAGTTTCATATTGGATAATTACTGATTTATTTAGTAAGATTTTACCATCTTCCAGGCTCATAAAAGAAGGGTTCCTCCAAGACAGAAGTTTAAAAGTAATTACTAAATTTAGCAAATTTTTGCAAATACCTTCTTTTGTATGAACATGATTCATATGTGGCTTTATGCCCTTGGTGAACAAGATATAAGACTGCATGTTTTACACGCTACCTTCTAATCAGAAACAATGTGGATTTTGAACTAAAGTATTCCTTTTGCAGGTTTCTTTCAATTAACATGATTTTTGAAAACACTTTTTTCCCCTTTGTTACTCAGAAGTCTGAAGGGTAAAGATAGTGTTTTACCTGTTCTTGTGTTCTCCAGAACATACACCTAGTGGATTTTTGGTGCTTGTAATTTGCCCAGAGAACAAAACCCCTCTTTTGTTCTTGAGGGGAAAAAAGAACTGAATGCTGTCTTGAACTTGAAAGGATAACATATTTTTGAGGTCTTTCTCAATAGCCAATGCAGCATATATCCAGAAAAAAAAAATATTCTGCACTTGTTTTAAGACAGTTTTGTTCTGAGGCAAGATATACAATCCCAAAATTTAAAAAAAAAAAAAAAAAAAATTATTCTCTGTATTACGTTCAAGACTAATTCAGCTGTAGGCTAAATAAATCTCAGATGTAGTGAATGGATTATTGGCTCTGTTGTTGTTTGCGATATAGTGCTTTTTGTAACTTGAGCAGCAGTGCCTTCTGTAAACTCGGTCCATACCCTAGCACTGGTGTGGACCAAGCTCAAGATTAGTTGTACACAAGTCAAACAAAATCTACTGTTAATTGTAAGCAAAAATATTTCCTGGTGCAGAGATCAGGAAAAAACCCTCTGAGCTTATTACAGAACCTGGCTTGGAGTGTTGTCAGCTGGTTAGAGAAACTGAAATCATGAGCTGTATTCTAAAATTTGCCAATAATAGAATGTTATATTTTCCATTGATTTTAAAGGAAAGCAGAACTGTGTCCTTGGTTTGTGACATTTATTTCTTTATGCCTCAGGGTAGAATGTACATAATGAAGCTCACCAATACATTGAAACCGAATGAATATTCAAAAAATGCTTCAGGATCCTCAGATAAAAGCTGCAATAGAAATAGACATAAATATTATTACTGTCACACAGGGTTACTTTGCACCTGGTTTCTCCATGTGTTTCACGTTTTTCTGAAAGCAATATGAATGCTATGAAAGAAGATGTAGGTACTATGAGGCGAACTTAACTAGAGAATGGGAGCTTGAATTTAATTCTAATTTAATGAATTGTGAGTCTTGTTTCTAATCCAATTTAAGCACATTTTATTCTACAGGGTTTGGTGAAGTAAATCTTGATTTTCATCAGAGTAAATAAGAATAGAATTATGTTTTTCAATGCCAAATGAATAAAACACTGGAGGGGGGTTGGAAATACACATTTCTTTTCTGCACTTGCCAAGGAGGCATAGTGCAATGCTTACTGTATATTAATTGGCTGTATATATTCAACAGGGAACACCTGCCTGAAGGTGTTCTTTATTAGGTAAACGCAAAACTGTAAGTAAGAATTTACAAGAATTAAGTCAAATTATATGAAAAGTAACCTGGAAAGTATTCAAGGAGTCTGACCAAATCAAAAGGCAAAGGAGATGCCACAGCGATACATTACACTTTGCATCCACGTCTTCTGCAGTGTATGGCCAAGACTCTTCACTATTAGTTGCAGAAATGATTCACAAATGATTCATCAGAAACAATGTTAACATTATTGTGCATGCTTATCCTTTTTGTTTTGTTTTTCTTTTTTTGGGCCATTTAAGACTGGAGAGGCCAAGAATGGTAGGCAGCTAAAAAGTTGCTGTTTTGAGGATCTGCTGAGGTGCTGGTGGGTACAGTCTCTCAGAGAGCAGCCAGTGGAGCTGATGCTAGGTAGCAACAACTTTCTGAGGGTAGAAGCAGTAACTTGGGCTTGAGGATACAAAAAGGAGATGCAAAGACATTCCTGTCCCTTGTAGTGCTAGTCACACTGAATACTGACCTGGGAGCCCTTAGCAGGAGTGAGCACTCCCTTTCTGGGTTCTTTGTCTTCTGCATCTGTAGCACTAACATATGAAGAACATCAGCAGTCTGTCTTGGGACAGGTCTTTTCTAGACAATATATGGCAGACCTCAAATAAATTTATGCCTCTTGTTTCTGCTGCTCTATCTGGGATAGTAAAATGTGCAGAGGAATACTAGTTATCATAAGGATGGTTTAAATTTTAGAGTAGTCCTATGTTGCAAAGCTCAGGGTCAAATACAGTCTTCCAGAAAACCTTGGGTTGTGAGGGAGATTCTCTACAGACTATCTCACACTAGAACTATGTATTATTTGTACATCAAAAGCATTCCTTAAATAAATAAATGTTAAGTCAGAAGCACCATACTGGATTTAGTTATACAAGATGTATGTCAAATGTGTAAGAGATCATTCCAAATAACCTGTTTCCTCTTTAACAATTGATGAAGGTTGACAGAGCTGTGTGGTCTGCATTTAATATCAAATATCTAAGCAATTTATAATACGTTGTTATGCAGTGAAAAAAATCTATTAATAACGTCGAGCTGTATCTCTAAATGTGAAGTGGAACCACTTCTTCCAGAAACAGAGTTAGGGACCATGGACTAATTTTCACTTTTGTTAACAAAAAGGCAGAGTGCAAATGACACGTGTAACTTGGAAGTGTTTTTTTTCAGTGAATTTGAATAAATAGGGTAAGTAGTGACTCTGTGTCACTGCATTAGGTTAACAGGTTCTTAAAGCTTTTTGAAGAGGAGCATTTCACTTGACCATACTTCATGCTAACTATGTGTATCTTAAGAAATAGTTATTTTTTTAGGAAGTGACCTTGAGGTTTGCAAAGTTGTTTCACTTTAATTGCAATTAAAGTTTATAAAAAGAACTGGATAGCTCTGGCTGAGGGAGAAAATAAAGAATGAAACAGGGAAATACTGAAAAAATAGTTTGGCTAAGTAGAGTAAGCGTAGTCTGCCTGTTACGTTTTATTCCTATTGGTATTTTATACCATGCTAACAATTTTTAAAAAGGCATGGTGATGGAATTGTTTGACAATACAGTTATAGTACCGTCTGTCTGAATAAAGGAGAAAGTACGTCTGTGTAAATTTCTTTTTCTCAGTTGCCTAGTGTTTGCTATGAAAAATTAGAATTAAGTAAAATATTATGTATGACTTGTAAAAATAAACAATAAACAATACGGTTATTTTGAAATCAGTAGAGCTTTTCTTAGTAACAAAAGACTAACAGAATATGGGGAATTTAATTCAGAGATATCCACCACCAAACAAGAATCTTCAGAGCCATCACAAACTCATGCCTGCAGTGCTCTTGATAAAAAGATCACATGTTCATTTCACTTCAGAAATATTTTGTTTATTAACAGCCCTTATGACAGATCCTAAAGTCTTAAATGCCTCTTTGAAAAAATCTGATTTATTAATTAAAATTAATTTAACAGCTCAAAAGTTACATTAATCTAAGAAATCCTATTAGGAAAAAATATGTTTAGGTCTTAAATGCCTCTTTGACAAAAATCTGATTTATTAATTAAAATATAACTTAACAGCTCAAAAGTTACATTAATCTAAGAAATCCTATTAGGAAAAAATATGTTTAGTGTTCCTTTTTAAAAAATTTTAACACTTCACGGAACACTTTTTCCCAAAGTAAAGAATATTTTCTATGTTTTAGGTATTAGCCTAACCAGTTCTCTCTGCCTTTTGGAGTAAATTCCTACAATATAACTTGAAAATTAGACCATGAAAATTAGTATTGAGTATGTTAGGGTTCCATATATTGCCAAAACAGTTAGGTGTTAATGAATGTATTCCAATCCCATCTTTAATTGCTTATGTTTTAGTCCTGAGCAAGATACAAGAAGTCTGGAGGTAAGCAAATAAGCATACAGCTGAGTTTTGACTGTGTGGTAATGATGTTGTATTGGTATTCTTCCATCCTTCCTCTGTAGTGTATAACTAACTATTGTCTGACTCTTAGAATTAGATCACTGCCATCTGCTAGAGCATTCTGTATTTCAATGGGGGAAAATTTAATTTGAACATTTCAAGGTCACAAACTGCTGTGAGTAAAGGCCGCTGGATGGAAGCTGTTGCCTTCAATAAGTGTAATGAGCTCTGAAACACACAAAGCTCTGAGTACCTTCGATGTCTGTCTCCAGGAGACAGAAGCAGTGTCCTTGCTTGATATTGCAAAGTTCAGCCTTAGAACAATATATTTTCATTATGTATTTTCGTAATTGCAGCTAGATAGTAATTAAAGGCAACCAACATGTGGAAAGAGGTGAATGTCAAACAAGAACAAAGAGTGAGTAGAAAGGAGGAAGAGATGTAGAAAGTTTCTTAGTTTCACTTTTTCAGTTTCTGTGCCTTTTAATTTAGAGCTGGGTATAAGTGTCTGTTCTTGTTTATTATGCTATCAGGATCTGGTAACTGAAAGTAGAATTTTTATATCTTTTCTGGAAAATAGTATTATGCCTTATTCTTGGGATTGACTAAAAGCATCATGCAAATGGTCTGATGCAGAGTGATCTGCCTTAAAGCATGAAATTGTAGACATAGATGCAGTTAAATGGATAGATAGGGTTATCTTTATATTAGCTCCAGTAGCCAAGCCATATAAATCACTCCTATGTAGCTCTCTATAGCTGTACTTTATGACTAAGTGGTTCTTTAGTTGTTAGAGATCTGGTAGAAGAGATTTAAAAGTGCTGTTATAATATGAAAGCAAATATGAATGACTTTAAAATTGGGATTATTTTTAAAAAAGAAAGGAACATAAAAAATTTTTTTAGCTATTCAGTTAAGCTAAAATAGTATGTTTGTACTATTTAAGGTGTCCATATCAGTGATATCAGATGCATGTGTATGTGAATAGTAATTAACAAAAATTACTGGTTTGACTAAGATTGATTGCCACTTAAATCAACAGTACTGTGGTGTCTTAAATATCTTTCCCTTAAAAGATCCAAGCTGATACTTACAAGCTATGTACAGAGAGCACACAAATAATCATTTTGGTATTATATCTCTTTATTTCATTTATATTCAGATTTAGAAATAAAGTGCTTTGAAAGAATATTAATATTCTCTTGAGAGTTAGGACTAAGAAAGAGAACACTCTTTAACAGAGGTCAGTATATTATTTTTGTCAGTATTTAATGGTAGCTGGCAAATCTTTTGAACAGCTGAAAAACCAAACAAAACCCACCATGTGAATGGTTAGTTCATGTTTTTCCCCATTAACCCTGATCTCATATTTTGATTGTGACCTTTATTTTTTTTGTGTAAAATCTTCATATTTGTTATACAAGTATACATGGACTAAATTTCAGTATTTGTGGATGTGATTGCTAGGCAAGTGCTTAATATGTTCACCTTCTGTTAAAATATCACCCTCAGTGGTAGCTGGATGTGGAGTTAGTATTTCCACAACCAAACCACTTAGACAAAATTTTGGAAGAGTTTGCAAAAGAAGTTCCATTTATGCATGTCAGATGGCTTGGACCTCCTATGTACTTTTCTCTCTTAAGTGACGATAGTGTTCTCTAACTTCTCTTTTGGTACAGGTAAGAGTGATGTCAAGTCCGGTGATGGTTCTCAAATTACTGACATCTGTCTACTTGAGTGTGGACATGATTCTAAGAACAGATGTCATATCATGCAGATTCAGTGTCATTTTTTATCTGCATGACATCAAAACGTTAATCTCAAGGTCAATGTCTCTATAATGTAAATCTGATTTCTTACAGAGATTTTATTTTTCTTAACAACTCTGCTGCAATGGCAGAACAACTGTAGTTTTCCATGAACATAGGTAGACTTTTGTATCAATGTGGGAGAGAACGTGGCATAGGGCATTGGGTATATAGGGATGAGTATTTTGCGAATTAGGGTATCCAAGAGCATCACTGAAAGTGAAAGAAATGTGTTCTTTTAATCCTAGGTGTAATAATTACATCCTCCTTTCACCCCTTACGTTCCATAAACCAGGAGGAAAGCTCAATCCTGAAACTTAGACTGATTTGTAAAAACCAATCTTTTAAACTGTATTTTATTAAATCCAATCTTAAAACTAAGATTGGAATTTCTACTTTCCAAGGCAAGTCATTGAATTAAATAGGAACTAAAGACCAGATTTGAATGCTTTCATATATAGTACACTTTATTCCATAGGTGAGTCTGAACAGAACCAAGGGATTTATCTCATTAGGACCAGTAGTGTAGCATTCAAATCAAATAACTGCGTAGAAACCTGCTATAATAGATGTTGTGTTCTTAGAGGGTAAAAAAATTTTTAGATCATTGAATTGGTTAATATTGTTTTAAAAATCCTTAGTTCTCTGAAGATCACGTTGGACTTCATTGCAAAAAATAAACACTGTATCTACTGGTGCAAAAGTAAAGTAAGCCTATTTATGTGCAGTGATTTTCTTCTCTTGATTATAAGTTTCCTGGTAAATATCATGATAAATGTTTGTAGATTTAGCAAATACCTAATGTGGCCTACAACAATTTGGTATATAAGCAGAAGTTTTTGGGTTGGTGTTTGGTTTTTTTCTGAAGCTGTGAGTAGAGTAAAAAAATAATGGTTAAACTTATGTTTAGGTGCATTTCAACAACTCATACTCATTTCTTTAAACTTGTAGATTAACTTTTTGAAGACTGAAATGGAAAGGAAGAGCAAAATGATCCGTGACCTCCAAAATGAGGTAAGAGGAACATTTAATTGTCATTTCCATTCAGACTTTACACTGAAAGAGATTATGGTTTGGCTTCGTATTTAAAACACATGTTGTTGTAGTAGAAAGATAAAGCTCCAGTGAAATACTCTATACACAAAAGCAAAGAAAAATGATGGTGTGCATTTAGAAATAGTATTTTATTGAATGCAACTGTTGACTCCTTGCTGCTGGTGCATAGATCCATAGTACACCTCAATAACTTTTGCTGTATTTACAAGTTGTGTTTCAGAAAGGAATACTTAATTCAGTTCTGCAGATTATAAGAAACAGTGAAACTTTATCACAGTGTTATTACTTACTTTAAAAATAAATAGCGAGAGGAGGAGAAAGGAAATACAATTTCAGAATTGAGATTCTTGCTAAAATTAAAAAAAACCCACATTCATAAAATGTTCCTTAAGCTTTATATGTCATGAATATTAATCCCAGATTAATCCCAAAATCCCAAATAAAACATAAAACATGTTTTATTTAATTTTTGTTAGTATTAAACTGAATTTCTTTTGAAATTTGTTCTTGGAATAGAAACTTAAAACATTTGAGCAGTATCGTATTTTTTTCCTCCTAATCTTTTTCTGCCCGAACAACTTGTCTAAATGAGGATATAGCTTCTCCTTCCCTCTGCTTCATTTTGCAAAGAACTTTGCACTTGAAAATATTTTATTCAGATGATCTCTTGTTCTCTTATCAACCAGGCTTCTTGTCTTTATCTGTTCTATTCAATTCTTATATTTTGCTCTTCTAAACTATTCTGAGTTTGATGTGTATGAAAACTTGATCTCCTTAAAGCACTTACTTAAATAGTGATCTCTGATGTCTTTGGTCTATGAGAGTGTGTATACATGGCCAATTTGAAAAAATGGCATGTTACTTTTTAACTCACAAAGGAAATACTGTCTATTTCAGTTGCTCACTTTATTTAAGCCATGTTCTTAGTTGTTTTCATCTACAGTCAAAATCACCTTGCTTTCTTTTGCCAGCTGTGATCATTGCATGCTTTGCAATTGAGCCTGTTAATTCTAATAAATCACATCAGTCCAATCCTGTTGACCAGCTGCAAAAAATCCTGTCTCTTCTTGCACACAAGTAAATACTTCATTAGTCAACATTCAAACCATCTGACTGTTAATGATTTTCTTAGGTAGGTCAGTAGACTTCTGTAATATTTAGTGTGTTTATAGTGCATTTTAGAAAGTCTCCTTTGAAAGGAATCTTTCTTTTTGGCACCAGAAGTATTTGTTTTTCAAATTAAAGATGGAGTGATTCTGCAAGATTTTATTTCATGATGCTCTCCTGTCTGAAGTTGCAAGAGTTGACTGGGTAAACTGGATGTACTGATGTTGCAAGCATTTTTGGCCTATCACAGGGCCTTTCAGAGAAACATCTACTTTGCATATCTACAATTTTATGTTTCCAGGTGTGTGTTAGTCTGCAGAGTGACTAAACATCTCCATCACTACCTAAAATGTGAATGGATAATTGAGAACGCTCAACATTCATTCTATTCAAAACATAGATATGTTGGCTTGGATACCCACAGATGCACCAATTCACACACATTTTACATCTGTGTTTCTCTCTTCCTCTTAGGGGGAAGAAAAAAAAAAGGAAGTCAGGTGAAATTCTGGGGTACCTGAGATCAGTGAAGGTACATCACAAATGAATTCAGGCCAGTGGTGAACCCCAGGAGTCACCATGATGTGGATGATGGCACTCTCGGTGTGTAGTGTGACTCACACTGTAGTGTGACTCCTCCCATCTTTTGAATTACAAGAACATAAGAAATGCTCAATGGTCCATCAATCTCAGTATCTTGTCTGTGACAATGACAATAGCAACCACTTTTAGGGCAGAGTGCGTGAGCCTTATTTCCCACAGCATCTGTAATTGCTGGGTTTGAGATGTTAGAAGATGTATCCCTGCCTATTCCTTGTAGTGTATGTTTATGAACCTGCTGTCTTAATTTCTCTAAATCCCTTTTTGATACTGAATACCTCCACAACTACTTACATTGTCAAATTCCCTCTTATTTCACTGTTTATGTTCAACTTCCTTTTTTTTTTTTTTAATGTCCTTTCCTGTTTTTCTAAATTCTAATTTCTAAATTCAAGTTTTTCTAAATTCTGAGTTGTTCCTTATGTAGCCTTCTTAGCTTTATGGAGTCATTCAAGGTTTTAGGGGCTTCTAATACAGCATTTTTTAACTGCTTCTAGGCAGATTGTATGTTTTTTTGTTACTTGACTGTTCCTTTCAGAATTTGTTACTATTTGCCTTATTTATACATAGTACTCTTTCATGAGATCAAATGTCTGTGTGCTGGGTTTATGTGTGTTTTGCTGTGCTGCCACAGCAGTACCTGTTACTGCACTTTGTTAGCAATTGCAAACAGTCTGCCATTAGTTCCTCTTGAACTCAGCCCAAGGAAACCCTTGAGAACAAACCAGAATAATATATTTTCTTTGGGGCTGCAGGGCTGGCTGCAGTCATTTGCTGTGTAGCTTCTTTCAGTCAAGTTGTAAATGTCTGGTGCTAAATGAAGCTTGGGTCTGGTTGGAGTTTCTATGCTGTATGAAGAGAAAGATTATGATTTCTCTTTAATATTTTGGCAAATCCTTAGGGAATATATAAACACACAAGGGAAAAGTATAGAAGTATTAAAAAATAAAGCATAAACTTTTTCAATATAAAAAAGTATAAAAGTATAAAATTTTACTTATAAAAGTAAAAATGTGAACCTAGTGATTGACACTTATAAGATCATAAATATTTAAGAAGTACTTTTGATATGTGTCTCCACTATCCTACCACACCTGGTTCTGATTTTTTCTGACTTTTTAGGGAAGTACTTTGACTACAAAACAGCAGAGAAGTTGGATGGAGGTTTGTGAGTCGCTGAGTGAACAGTTTCTAGAGTTCTGTATAAAGGTTATTTGGGGCATCTGTCATTGAGACGTCTCAAAATGCAAAAAAGAGACAGCTTATTGAAAAATTATAATTAACCTTAGAGGTAGAGCAATGATTAAACTAGAGAAATTGGTTTAGATGGGAAGTAGAAGAGATCAAGCCAATAAAACAAATTTCCAGTTTCCTGAGGCCTTCAGTGGTGTGTGTTCTAGTCTAGCTCACATGCTTCTCCTTCCTCCTCCATATATCAAGATTACATAGCACTTAACTATCATTCAGATGTTCTTGGAATTATTCAAAAAGATCTGTCTGATTTGTATTACTCATCTATTTTAGATCATAAAATTAAAAGGGGGGGGGGGGGTTTTACTGAGGAGAAGAGGAAAAAGGCCACAGTTTTCTCTAGGGAAATAGTGAATTAATGTCTAGATGCTCTAAATGGAACTACAGAACCTTCTAGTACTTTCTACAAATGTTTCAAGCTTGATGTGGGAATAAAAAGATTAAATCTTGCAGAAGGAGTATAATAAAAAAAGACATAACTAAGGGGAAGAGACTTAATATCATATGCAGCAAAGAGGAAATGAGGTGTAGAAAAAATGCAATAAAGATTTGGTCTTCTAGGTTTTCAAAATTACATGAGAAGTGATAAAGGCTTGTTTCCTACCCAGCCCCTGCAACCACCTGAATGCCTCCCTTCCCAAGGTACAAGGGTTTTGCACACCTATATACTTAAGAGCAGCAAATACATGTAACTTAAAAAAAAAAAAAAAAAGTTTTATGCAAGTATTTGACAGTGCTTGCATTCACTTGATGTATCTGTCATTCTTTTATTACTACCCTATCCAGACGTACTCACATAGATAAATACTGGAAAAGTCTGCACAAGTGATCTACTTTTTGTTTATTTCTAATTTAATCAAATTACTTGACATATTTCAATTTTTTTATGTTGTCTACTTGCACGATGTTCCAAGAGCTGAAGGAAAAGGTTGTGGGCACTGTTTATTTTGCACTTATTCTAGGAGGAAACGCAGAATAGTACTTGTGATCAAAGCAGCAATATGGTCCTAGCATGCCCTGGAAATCAGAAGCTACAGCATTCTGTTCTTGGCTCAGCCAACTAAACTTGCCATGAGATAACTTAATTTGAGAGCATTGCTTAGTCTTTCTGTGCATCAGCTACTGTGTGGAAAAGGAGGCAATAGCTATACCTACCTAATGACTTTCTATTAAACTTCTATACCATGTTTGCCAGTTCCCAAAAATTGAGTCTACAAATGTCAGTTTTTCTGGAATTTCAGTAATTGTTTTTGAGGGTTTCAATTAGGACTTCATATTTTGACAAAGGTTTGACTGAATTTAAATGGTATGATTTTGAGGTAACATTATGTTATCTAGGTCCTGCCTCCAATCACTGAATATACAGTATGCTTTTAAAAATCTTGTTTGTAAGATTGGATATCCTATATATTTAAGCAATCGATAGGATTTTATATGTATTTTTTAAAAGTTCTGTCTGCATACAAATATATAGAGACAGATAATGAAAATGGAATTCCTTTTATAGCTGCTTTTGTCCTTTCAAGGATCGCATTCACCCTCAGTTTGTATTGGCAAATTGTGAATTTTTGCAACCTCAGGCTCTTCCCTGACCAAAAATAATTCCCTATTTAGTTGTGTTCTTTCAGTGCACGCCCTACTGCCATTCAACTTAGCAATTTGGAGATGGGAATAGACAACAACAGCCTTCCAACTGAATGCAGCAGCTGTGAGGAGAGGACATTGTACAGAAAGGCAGTTTTCAGGCTATTCAAGGCATTGGGAAAAAAACAGTTAACAACAAAAATAGTCCCTGGTATGGAGGAAAAAAAACATCAGATAGAGCACATAGGGATTACGAGTCTAAAAATTCTGCCTTTTTTAGAGGTCTCTAAGTGCCTCCTTCAATACCAGAAAAAAATCTGTCAGACTTCCAGCTGTAACAGCATGGATTGTGTCAATGTAGTCTAATAAAGGATTGACATGTAAACAGATAGACTGTTATTTTGAGAAGTTTCTAT